ATATATATATATACACACACACAATATATATATATATATATATATATATATATATATATATACATATATATATACATACACATACACATATATATACATATATACATACATACATATACATAAACCTACACACCTACACATCCAACCACACAGAAGAAACTAAATACATATCTAAAGAGAAACCAAGAAACATTCTTAACATTCATTATTCTCTTCCATATGTTTATATCACTATTACCCGCACAAGGATTTTTTATTATTATAAACCAACCTTACCAACATACACCTTTTTGTCGTCCTACCTTCCCCTTCTACCTAGAATTACCCTCTCCCCAGGCCTCATTCAAACCCTTTGGGTATAAACAATCCAACCTACTAATCCATTTACGTTCCGCCCGCCGACGATCCTGCATTGACCAACCTGCTCTACTTTCCAACCCCATCACCCCTAAACTCCCAAATCCATGTTCCTCAAAATGTTGTACCAAGTGTGTAGTCCTTTTCCTACCCCTACGAATGTTATGCCGGTGTGCATACAACCTTGTCCGAAGTGCATTACCCGTTTCTCCCACATACTGCTTGCCACACTTTCGACAATATAGTGCATATACCACATTCATCGAGGACATAGTGATACCCCGCTGTGTCAGGTACCTCGTTCGATTTTGGTAATTTCTTATCGTCCCTGCCCCTGCCGTCCTGGGGGCTTGTGGTCTCATTGGTGGGAGTTTAGCCCTCACCAACAAATCCCGAAGATTAGGATTCTTTTTATAAGCCGAAATCACCCTGCACCTTTCTTCCAATCTCGTACCCGACATCACCTTCTTAAAGTTATTTTTTAATACCCAATTTGCTCGTACCCCATACTCCGAATAAACAGAAACTAGGGGTATTAGAGATTCGTTTGTCCCAGCTCTCGAAACCCGACCTACCTGGGTTTCACTTTCCATCACCTCTTTTCTAATCCCACGTAAAAAGGATCTGGAATAACCTCTTTTCCGCAACGCCTGAAAAAGTGTCACCCTAGCTTCCTCAAAATCCTGCTCTCTGGTACAAATTCTCCGAAAACGCAACAACTGCGATCGTATAATACCACGAAATGTGTGTTTCGGATGAAAACTTTTCTTATGGAGAAGTGCATGGGAATCTGTAGGTTTGAAATATACTTTGATATCCAATTTACCCCTTTCTGAGAAACCTGGTCCTTTAAACGTAACCGTATCCAAAAAACTCATCTCCTGTTCATGAATTACCGCCTTGAGCTTAATAGAAGGATGATGGCCATTCAATGTACTCACAAATTGGTCAAACTCCTCCTTAGTCCCTAACCATACCCCCCAGATATCATCCAGGTATCGCAAGTATACTTCCGGTTTCTTCGTACACTTGCGCAATGCCGCCTCCTCCCATTCTGCCATGTAAATATTAGCATATGCCGGTGAAAATCGTTTTCCCATTGCTGTACCCTTTATTTGAAGGAACCAATGTCCGTCGAACTCAAAATCATTACATGTCAAATTAATCGACAAAAGTTCCAGGATGTACTTGTCTGGTCGTCCTGGATCCGGAAATCTCCGCAAGGCTTTCTCAATAGCCTTCATCCCCATTTCTGTATCTATATTTGTGTATAGACTTTCCACGTCCATTGAAAAGAGAAAACAATCCTGTGGCAGTGTCAAATCCTTGACCTTAGAAACGAAGTCATTCGTATCCTTCACATAACTAGTGTGATTATCCGCCAGCGGGGTCAAATAGTAATTGACAAACTCCGCTGCTCCATAGGACTCACTACCACAATCCGAAACTATAGGACGCCCCGGAGGGATCCTATGTGGTACTGTCCATGTTTCTGGTGACTTATGGATTTTCGGTAATAAGTAGAACAATCTCGGTCGGGGGGGCGCCACTTCCCCTCTAAGATATAAGGCCTGAGATTTGGTCAAATATTTCTCTTCTACCAATCTATCCAAAATCAACCCTACCCTCTCTGCCGTTTGTGGGTATTTCGGATGTTTCAAAACCTTGTAATATGAGGTATCCCTCAGTTGCCTAAAAGCCTCCTGTACATAGTCTCGCCTATCCATGATAACCACCGCTGCTCCCTTATCCGCTGGTTTAATGACCACCGTTTTAATTGATCTTAGCTCTTTGAGAGCCTCCATCTCCCTCAAACTAAGGTTTGGTCTATTAGGAATTTTTTGAAGACCTGCCAAGTCCTCCTTATCCCTAATAATCAACTCCAATAATTCACTTGGCAATGATACATCACGTGGTTCCCACTCAGATTTAAGATAAAATGGCCTCCTCCTCCCGTCTCCTGGATTTGCATCCCCCCGATAAGATGCCCATTTTAATCTTTTATGATATTGTTGAACATGCCCAAAAAGTGACTGACGCACATCTTTAAAGGCTGTGGACGTGGGTATAAATGAGAGCCCTTTCTGTAAGACCTGTAATTGCATAGGAGAAAATTCAAAGGAAGATGCCAAATTGATTATTGCTTCTCCCGCCTTCATGCTATCCGACGAACTTCCCAAATTTTCTGGGGTCCTATATCCCCTTGTAGGTCTTACCCCAAGGCTTTACGCCAATGTTCCCACATTGCCACTCCTGTTTCCGGGGTCCAATGAATCTCATCCCCTATTACCTTAAATTCCTCCCCTGGCAAAAGAGGAATAAACTGCTCCGTCCTTCTGATCAGGCTGTTTAGAATTCTCAAATTTTCCTTAATCCTAGGACGTAACTTGGCCGAGTAATTTATCAAGGGGATGAAAATCCTTGCGAAAGGAAAGGTAGAATGAGCTACCCCCAAGAGACGGCCCACCCTATCCTTCAGGATGTTGTAATTGCCCGTTTCTCTGTCATTGAGTCCAAACCCCAGAATGACCGCCCCCACATTCGACCCTGTAGGTGTTTTGTTCCTCAATATATTTGTTGCATTTGACATGGTTGCCCCCGGAAAACACTCCACCTGGAATCTATCATCTCTAATCAAAGGAAGCCTGGACATGTTAGAGGCACCCAACATGAGGGTCCCTCTACGAGGATTCAATGACCAATTCTTATTCTTATCCCCCCCATGCTCATGCCTCTCAAACATTGGGGGATCCTCCATAAACTTAGCCAATTCTCTTAATTCTCTCTCTGGGTCCGAAGGACCCGCAAGTTCCCTCGGGAACTCACTCTGTGTTACTGAAATGGGCTGTGGCAGCCCCTCCCATGGAGAATCCATCTGAGGTATCGACCCCTGTATCTCTCCCCTTTGTCCTGCTGTCCTAATCCTAGGCTGCCGTTGTTCCTTCGGTTTATACGTTACTTCCCTTAGGTTGGTATCCTCTTCCCATGTACCAATCCCCTTTTTCAGAATCTGTTCCTCCTTTTCCCCTTTTCCTTTTCCTACCACCCCCCTATCTTTTATCATCTTACCAACGCTTGATGTTACCTTCCTTGGACCCAGGCTAAAATCAGCCACTCGACGTGTCCCCCTTCCCTTCCTTATACCTCCCCCTTGTGTCCCCACCTTCTGTCCCAAATCCTGTTGAACCTTTCCCTTAATGACCCGAGAGTCCACCGGTAAACCCATTACTGGTTGTATCCCTTTTGGATCTCCTATCTTGGTTCCCACCCCCTGTTCTCTACCTGGAACCCAAGGTTCCTCCTCTAATCCTCTTTTCCCATCCTCACCCAACTGTTTCCCTTTTTCCTCCCTCTTCTCCTCATCCTCCCTCCTCTCCTCATCCCCCCTACCTACTTTCTCCCCTCTCCCACCCTTCTCCAACCCACTTTCCATCTGAACCGTCCCCATCCGTACTGTTGGAGGAACCCGCTGCCTCCTACCCCTGCCTCTTCTCCTAATCCCTAATTGAGATCCCCCTTCCGAATCTTCTTGTTCCAAGATAACCTCAGGCTGAACCCCCTCTCCCATCTTCCCAGAAACCTGTGTCAAGGAATTTAATTCCAATACTTCCTCCCTCCGACTACCCACTGTAGAGTCCCCAACTACCTCTACATTTCCTACCTCCACCTCTCTGGGTTTTTTACTCGCTGGAGCTAATCCCCTTAAGGGACTACCTGGACGGGTTTGTCCTCTGGATATCCTTTCTACCTCCTGACCCCCTGAACCCACTCGTCCTGGACGTATGTTCAAAGGAGTTGGTGACATCTCCACAAACCCAACCCCACGCAAATCCTCCAATACTCCTCCAATAGTTCCTGAATGGAGAAATCTGCACTTTTGCTTTGCCCATTTCAAAGCTATCGTCCATGCTACCTGACCCTCCTCCTTAGGCAATGTTGTCACCGTAGTCAAGAATTTTTTCATATTCTCCTCATAGTGTCTCTCCAATATTTGTAAGGTCGTATCTGCCCAACCCTGATTATTCATAGTCAGTTCCACCTTTGTATCTTTTGTGGACATGGCCGGGCAAATCGCTGCTCCTAACCACCCCACAATCTGCTTCAAAAAGGCAGGACCTGGTTGCCCTGACCCAGTATGTTGGAGCCTCCTCATACTATGCTTCAACCTGATCAGACGGGACATAGCATGCACCAGTTCCTGAAAAGGAGACCTGGAGGACCCGCCTTCCTGTTCCATCCCACTCCTTATGGGATAACCCTCAATTTCTGACCAATTCTATTAATTCCCTAACTTACTTAATAATTTCTAACCCTATGTATCTGTCTTCTGTCTTTCCTCACTGAAACACAGAGAAAAACCAGAATCAATACCAATCTCGCCCAAAAAAAATTTTTTTAATTTGTTATATATACTACATTGTATTTTTTAATAGAAACCACCAGACCTCCCTTCCCTTTTTTTTAAAAAAACTTTACCTCTAATCATATATATACATACATATATATATATATATACATACATATACATACATACACACAAACAAACACACATACATACACCTACACAACTACACATACATACACATACACACATACACATACACACCTACATACACACCCACATACATATATAGACACATACACACCTATATACACATATCTACAAACATAAAAAAAACTACCCATACACACAATTACACTCCCACACATCCACACCAGAGAGAATGTATAATTATAGGGACAGATCGTGGCCGATGAAAACCTCACCACAACCACGACCCGCCTTGCACGGCAGCCCTATACTCCCCAATC